CACAGAGGTTACATTAAAACATCATTTAAAAAATAATATAAGGTGTATGTCTACTTTCACAGACAGAAAAAGCATATGTACTACTGGAATTTCTACACAAGAAAAATCCTAACAAAATTTATTATCAAGATTATTTTTGTGTGAATCTAAGTCATCTGTAATTACACTAGCCAATTTATTTCAATTTCCAAATGGGCTTATGGGAGAGTATACAAAAAATAGTGTTTTTTTATTGCCACACTATTAATGGCAAATGCACATCTGGTGCATTAAAATTAATACTGTTAATGCTATTATATAGAGAAAATCAGGAACAATAATTACAATTGAGTCCATATATTTGGAGTCTAAAAAAATCAAACTAAAAAATTAAACTGATTATTATTTTTCAAAATTCATTAATCCAATCAAGAGTGGGTTTACAGATAGGAAATTCATATGGCTATTAATTAGGGGTAGTATGACAGGAGGAAGGGCAGGTCGGAGGCTCCAGCTGTTTCAATGCAATAACTTAAAATCCATTTCACCAATGCGTTTCAAATTTTTATATGTTGTTAATAATGACAAAATGGATGTTAAAGATATTGAAGATTTTCACTTTTTGTTTATCAGGAGTTATCGTTGATTGATTAGAAAATGATAAGAAAGTGCACTTAATGTCATTTCATTGCAATTACCTGAAAACCATTCAACCAATGCTTTTCAAATTTTAACATGTTGTAACTGATGAAAAAATTGAGGTCACATTACATTTTTTGTTTGCTTTTAGGACTTATGGTCCTTGATTGATTTTAAAATGGTACTGCATGTCAATCTTATGTGATAACTTGAATTGTTTAATATAATCCTTTTCAAATTTTAAATATTTTGAATCTCATGAAAAAATTAAAGGTCATGGTTAGTTTTTACAACTTTTACTACTGCCATTTAGGAGTTATAGCCCTTAATTGCTTTAACAATGACACTAATATATATATATATATGAAAAACCTGGTTTGCAAAATTAACTTATTTCTTCTAACAAGACAATTGTGTATAGATAAGTTATCTTACCATCTCCTTTTTTAAAGCATAAGAATTTTTTTTCAGGAAAAAAAAGATCTCCTTTTTAGACAGTGTCAAGAAAGGTAGAAATTCTTCCAATTATTTTAGATTGCATGCTTTGACCATAGTAAATATATAATTGTCACTCAACAGATACAAGAATCACAAATACTCAAAAACCAACATTTTCTAAGCAGACTTTTTTTTTACATGTTAGAACAATACAAAGTACATGTTTTTTTTTGTTATTACCATTTAAAAAATGTGTCCCAGACATTTCAATTAATAAAGTGTCTTCCTAGCAATAAAATTTTTAAAAAGTGCCATCTTGACATGAAAATTACTTAAGTGACTTCCTGACAACTCTATATCTACATTCCTTTAATTACATTTCAAGAAATGTTTATCAGTATCAAGAATTATTCATTTTCACTTTGGTAAATTCTGTTAATCAGAATTCATCTGGAAATAAGAGGCTGTCAGAGTGACAGCAAACCGGATTTCCTGCAGAGGTGGAACCCTGAACAGTTGAGCAAGTATGGACACTACACTTAGCTTAAAACAGCTCTGAATTTTGATTGTGATTGAATATTTGACACAGCATAGGTTTGTGACACAAAATGAATGTGGTCAAAGAACTGAAAAATTTGAAATTGGACATTTCCCTATTATTTACATTGTTTGAATCAGCATATCAAAGAGCCCCAAGAATTTAATTTTTGATGAAATCAAACAAAAGTTTAATTTAGGACCCTTTGGACCTCAATGTGGACCAATTTGATAAAGGAGGCCACAATCCAAAATCTCTAAATACATGGTTAGATTCAGCATTTCAAAGAACCCCATAAATTCAATTCTTGTCGATTCAAACAAAGTTTAATTTTGGACCCTGATTTGGACCATCTTGAAAACTGGGTCCAAAAATCTAATATTTAGAAACAAGGTTTAGATTCAGCATTTGAAAGAACTCTATATATATTTAATTTATGTTGAAATGAAACACAGTTTAATTTTATCCATATAATTTTCTGTTCAAAGGGAAATAACTCAAACTGAATAAATGTTAAACACATAGTTCTCTAAAATTAGATATGATTTAATCACTACAAAATAGTTCTCTAAAATTTGATATGATTTAATCACTACAAAATAGTTCTCTAAAATTATATATGATTTAATCACTATAAAATGGTTCTCTAAAATTAGATATGATGTTATATATATCTATTTTCAAATTATAATCAAAGATATGATTTAACCACTAAAAAATAGTTCTCTAAAATTAGATATGATGTTACACAATGTATATCTATTTTCAAATTATAATCAAATATAATTAACAGTTACAAATATTTTTACTTTCATTTGTCACAAACTAATATAGATCTGCAACTTATCTATCAATGCTAACAACTTTATCTGCACAATGTAATGTAATGAAATATATCCTTTGATAAAAATAGATTATTATCTAATTAAAGGAGTTCACTTCATCAAAACAAATTTATATATATATATAGCATTCAGAAAATTAGTTTAAACAGAATAACAAACAAACCTACCACAAAATTCTTCAAACAATTTAACAAAGAAAAAAAATCCAAAGTGTCATTTATCATTAATACAATGTCTTTTAAAAATCTTTTAAAAATGAATTATTTTCCTTTGAACAGAAATGGAGAATTTATTAAGTATTTCATCAAAAATTTAATTCTTGGGAAAGGGCTATAACTCAACAACGAGAAAAGCTAAAATCGTGAAAATTGAACTTGACCTTCATTTAGTCACAGGAAACAACATATCTAAATTTGAAAAATTTCGTCAAAGGGTTTTCATGTAAATGAGCGGACACTGTTTGGCAGCCGCCCGCCATATATCCCCAAATCAATAACCGATTTTTCCTTCGAAAATCCGGTTAAAAACTAAGAATCTATACAAAGTTTTAATTCATGAGATAAGCGGTGATTATGATGAAACAAAAATAAAATAATTTAAAGTAAGAATAAATACAAATATATTTGTTCTTATAACAAAGGTGATATACTAAAAAATAAATGTATATATAATACATATATACATGTATATAGCTAAAAGTGAGTCTTGGATTAAGCATTAACTATTATACAAAATATTGGTGAACAATTCAACACATAATATATTAAGGATTTCATGAAAAGACATGACACAGTTTAAATCTTTGTGTCAATTATTGCATCATGTCTATATTTGGTAAATTGTAAGAGTACTTTACAAACAAAGTGTATCCACTGTTGCAAGAAAGCAAAACAGTTATACCAACAATTTTGCTGTATTTGCCAAACAAAAACAGCAGTACATTTACAATAGGATGATCACAAAGAGGTGTAAATTTCAGAAATAAATGCAATGTATTAAAAAATAAAACTTGAAAAAAATTAAGAGATGAGCATTGCTTTGAGGTGTATTTTTATAGTAAAATAACATTACTGTCAGCTGGCAAAGATTGACAAGACATGGATCCAGTGTTAGAGGTACAGGTGTTGTTAGTATTCAGATTAGTTTATTTATTGGTGCAAGAATTTTTGATTTTATGCAAAAAACAAAATTTTTCAAAACAATGAGGGGGAATGCCCTCTTATCTGCCACTGACATTACTGTGACTTGACTGTAAGTGTTGCTGTCCACCTATTGCAATTTGTTTTATAAAACCAAACTGTTTAACTAGTCAGAAATTTGAACAAACTGCTGTAGAAAACCACAGTCAAGTCGTGAAAGTGCAAGTGATATCAATCCTATAAGACTTTAATTCCACTTCAATGATATTATGAAAAATCAGTCTAACAGTTTTTATACAAATTTTATTGTAATTGTCATGCTAAAGGTGATAGGTAGTAATTTTGAATTGCTATAAAAATGTCCAAACTAAGATTTCATACAATTTTTCTTTCAAAAAGTCTTCTATATTCATAAGAATCAGACATCATTTGAATTAAAACATCTTATATTTAGTAAAATATATGTGAAATTACAATATGCTGTCAATAAGTTTCCATGGGAGATAACATTAAATCATTATTCTTTAGAATACAGAAGACTTTTCGAAAGAAAATTTTATTATCTCCCAATGGAAACTTCATAACAACATATTGTAATTTCACATATATTTTACTGAATATAAGATGTTTTAATTCAAATGATGTCTGATTCTTATGAATATAGAAGACTTTCGAAAGAAAAATTGTACGAAAGCTTAGTTTGGACATTTTTATAGCAATTCAAAATTACTACCTATCACCTTTAGCATGACAATTATAATAAAATTTGTATAAAAACTTTTAGACTGATTTTTCATAATATCATTAAAGTGGAATTAAAGTTTTATAGGATTGTTAGTATGCTTTATTTTATCACCTTGCACTTTCACGACTAGACTGTGGTTTTCTACAGCAGTTAGTTCAATTTTCTGACCAGTTGAACAGTTTGGTTTTATAAAACAAATTGCAATTTGGTCAGAATTTTGAATAAATTGCAATAGGAGGAGAGCAACACTTACAGTCAAGTCACAGTAATAAATAGCCATTTTCTCAGAATTTCAAATGATACTAATAAATACATTTACACCCATAATTCTAGTCTTTACTTGTGATAAATCTGCATGAGCTTTCCAAATGACCTCAATAAATACTGCAGATTTGGAAGGGATCTATAGGTTAAGTTAGTTATCTGATATGAGATCTCTAATAACAGTTTTTACTGTACTTCAATGATTTGCATCTATTTACTTGCCTTTTTTTTTGTCTTTTTGAATATTCCATACATTTAAGATGTTGTGCATTTATCTGTATTCCTTGCCATTACTCCACCATTATTGAAAGTAATTGCCATTTCAGGCTGCTACATGTATGTAAAACAAATCCTTATATACATTTTTTGTACTATAATCAATGGCTTTAATATGCAGATTACCAATTAAGATATAATCTTGAACACAAAGTTTATTTCTATATCATAAAAAAATATTTTTTCCTGAGAAATAAACCTATGTTTTACAAAAATAAAATAAAATAAGGAGATAAGACATGGTTGCCAATGAGACAACTATATTATTTGTTCGCTTTTAACACATATGTGCATAAACTTCCAAATAAACTTACAAAATGTACTAGTGATATTATTGACTGATGATAGCAATATGAATGCATAAAACAAACATCTTAATGACTGTGTTATTTAGTACGCATGAAAAACAGAACAGGTCCTGCCAGTCTATAGGAATAACATAGATTGACTGGTTTGGAATAACATAGACTGACTGGTTTAACAATATCAATAACATATAATAATTAAATAAAACTCTATAAAAATCAACAATAAATACTTTGTAGAAAATAAGAAGGTGGGTTAACATTTCATCATTTTAAATTATGACCAACAGTCAACATTTACCTCTTGCTATACTGAACATACATATTTTGGACCCATAAGTGTTACAAGGTATAATTAGTTACCATCAATGATATTATGACATTTAAGTGTAAACAGTTTCTTAAAATAACAGCCAATATCAATAAAATCATTAAAGAAAAGGGTTCACTTTTACAAAATATAGCCTTGACATTTCAACTGCTGTAAATTCAGAAATTATTGTGAGGTTTTTATTATTGCAAATAATTGGACTTGGTATCGCGATAATAAGAAATCGCATTCTGATATCTGCTACATATAATTGTATTTACCTTTTCCTGTAATCGCAATAATTATTCTCACATTTTGGATTGCCATGTCAAAATTGTAAAAATAAATGCACATAACAATTTCTGAATTAACAGTTTACAATTTGGTTCTTAAATGGATCGTTTCAAAATCTTAATGCTAAGTGAAACAAATCCCTTTATATAAGCACTTTTAGGTTCAAAGTAGACACATTTTGAACATAATTTTGTGCATTTTTCTGCCCCAAAAATGTTTTAGGAAAACCTTGGCCGCAACCTATGATCGAAATTAAAAGGGCTAAGATTTATATTGAATCCCTAAGACACAACTGTTTTTTGAACTGAGTTTTGCAAGCCAAAGTTATTTTTTTCCAAAACCTGTTAAAATTATGAAAAATGGACCAAAACTGACTTTACAACTCAAATAATGTTTCACTAAGGGGTCATAACTTTATAATTTATAATGTGATATGCAAGAAAGAAGTTTATTTGTCATAATAGTTAAATACATGTAACAATTATTTCTATATAAAATTTGTAGAAATTTGCTCAGATCAAAAACATCAAAATCTAAGGGCTTATATTATCCCTTTGTGAACCTACTTCTTTAATGAAAAATACAGTGGTTCAAAAAGCTTGACAGTAAAAATAACATTACAGTCCTTTTTAAAAATACATGTGTGCTGTGTGCTCATATTTTTGTTTAGTCTGAAAAATTAGTCAACTGAACATGTAAATTACTGAAATAACTAAAAATTCCTACAATTGATCATAATGAACAGTAGGAAAAAAATTAAATGTCTGGTACTCCAGGAAAAATAGCAAAAAAAAAAAGAAAATTAAAGAATATGATTTAACTTCAAATTATGATCGGTTTAAAATTAAGTACTTTTTCCAATAAACATCACATTATCAACACTATGTTTTTATAAAATGTTAATTTATGTTGTAATGTAAGTTGTAGTAGTAGTCCTTTAAACAATACTATTTTATTTTCTGAATAAATTGTGATAAGGTACTCTTAATAAAAGATAACGTAATACAATGAATTAACATATCACAGTGGACACCTTTAACAACAAAACAACATCAAGCAGAAGAACGTCAGCTCTTATGGCCCCTTGCTTGCTAATCAAAGAGCTAAATATTTCTTAAATACAAAAATTGTATATTGACTTGGATTTGAGTTTCATTTAAGCATTGAAATGGGAGACATTTTTAACTGCCAGAAGGTGAATAGTTTCTTGGTTTTGCTTACCATTTTTTTTTTAAAGTTGACAAAAACTTAAAATGGATCGTTGATGCAAGAATCATTTAGGCAAACTTTCATTAATCAGGAATAAAACATGTCTTTTTTTTTGTACATAAGTCTTAGAAAAGACTGGAATCCGAAATGCCTTATTCAGTTATTGTAGCTGTATAAAAAATTACAGTAATTTCTGTCCACAAAATAAGTCAACTGATAATAATCATAGCTAACAGAGATTTCAGAGTTCTGTGTGAGAAGAGAAATGAAAATAACTCAAAAGAAAATTACCAATGAAACAAAAATATATTCAACAAAAGGCATTTCAAAAAACTCTCCTGTTACTCTTTGAAAGTGCCTCTCAAATTCATCTCACTACTCTGAAGTTTTTGTATGGGAGAAATCTGTATATTTCTGAATTGCACATTTCACAAATCAATAAGGGACCAACAGAGCTACAGTTCAGGAGCTGCACTTCATTGAAATACAAATATAATGTCATTAAGGAAACAGAGTTTACATATTGCTATATCATATATATCTAATGCTGTTTACCATTATGATGAAGCTGACGATGATGTCTTTCAGGCAAAATTTTAAATCTAACATACATGTGAAAGCTCAATACTATAATAATATTACCAAGCAAGACAAGTAAAACAGCTCCAAAAGAACCCATAAAAGTGGCATGGTATGGACTCATCTTCATTTGGTGTAAATCTACATATACAGCATCCAACTGATTCAAGGTTACAAAAAGTATACATATATGAAAAATCTGGTGGCTGTGACCTAGAAAGTCAAACTTCCCTGGGAAAAATCGTTGTGGTATATCTGATCCAAAGAAAAAACCAGCAAACAAAAACCATATAATCTGCTGTATATGGTCATGTATACTAGGATCTGTAGCATTGTGAAAGAAAAATAAGTAGATTCTATGAAGTATTGGCAATATTAAAAAGATGTAAATACTGGCGACTGGTATTAACTGCCATAGTTTTCTGGTGAAAGGATAAGGTCTTGTGTAACGGACCTTCGAAACGCTGTTACAAAATGTCACCAACCATCCTAGGAATATTCCGATAGGGATGGCATAGTTGTCAATCATGCCACCTTTCATGCTATCCTTGATACAGTAACTGTAATGTAGCATCACACTACCGAAACCAAACAGGCCAATTCCTGCATAGTCAATCATAAATCCTGTGTAATGGACCAGCTCCGATTTGTTCGAGAAACAATGCGCAAATGTGCTGCACATGTACATCACAGTCATAGTAAATAGACCTGCATACAGCGACCATTTCTTTGGATCTGTAACACCAAACTCAACAGCGAAGCCAATTACCCGGGAGATAGTAAGAAGAACCCCAATCAAATGAGTCCAAACATTCATACATTCATTGTGTTTCTGAAATAAGCTACAGGCATAGTAACTCCATGGCTGATGTATATGTCTGAATCCAGTCTCTACATGTGGTTCATGGTACAGTAATGGTACTTCATGTTTCGTTGTGGTTGGCTTCAGACCTTTAGTCAATCTATGGATGGGCATTGTTTGGACTACAAAATTGAATAAAATATCATTTTAGGAATTCTCTTTAAAAAATCCACTGACTCATTGAAACACAAGAACAATGTATTATTTAGATTGTTTGTAACTATTCACAATTACAATGTTATGGTGCTTTTTTCATTAGAAAATAATGACACAATTACCTTGTAAATAATTGTCTAACGTTATTTCAGCATTACAGTTGGGGCGATTTTGTAGATTAAACTTGGGACAAGTTGGCAGGGTTTATTCATCCACCAACATAAGTGGGACCAGTTGGCAGACCTTTATTCATCAGGATATTGAACTACTTTTAATAAGTGGTTTGATTTGGGAGGCCTAAATTCAAAGGGATTAAATTCTTTTTCTTAAGTGGGACCAGATGGTAGGTCGAAATTCAGCTGGATTAAACTCTTTTTCATGAGTGGGGTGAGTTGGCAGGCCAAAACTGAGCAAGATTTAAGCATTTTCATAAGGGAGCTACCATTTCGATTTTTATGAGGGGGGGGGGGGGGCTAGGATGAAAAATTTTGAAGATATGATGACTATAGAAAAATTGAAAAAAAATTGTATGACATTAACCAAATTGGCTAGACAATTAGCAATTCTTGTCTGACCAAACTAAAATTTGCCTGTATGTATGTTCCAAGATCCCTCCGTCAAAAGAGCACCCCATACCTGCCACCTAAAACACCTTAAAGAGTAGAGAACCTGGTTATTATTTTATACATGTCTAAAATATATTTAATAAGATATACTATGAATTTTAAGAAGTATCTACATGTATATACTTAAATGCCATCAAACCGCGTTACACATTTGAATAACTATTTTGAGGTATTAATTTCATATAATAGAGGATTTAAATAGTCAGGCCTACCCCTCCCATGGAGGATATCCCCCATAAATTGGGATAGTTGGCAGGTCTGGCACCCCTCAGTTGCTGAGAGGGTACAGTGGAATCAGTGAACACTCCCAATCAAGACTAATGGAGAGGTGTCACCAACCCACCACCAGGACAATCCCCAACGGAACACAGAGGGAGTGATAGGACACCAGGAAGTCTGTTATTATGGTGAAAGAAGCTGAAGTACTTAAAGAGAACCACAGGGCTTTGCCGCTGGAACAAACAAACCAAAGAGATATCTGGCAGATTCCAAATAAGAAAGTTAAAATACTCCCAAAATTATGTTTAACAAAATCAACACCAATAAGGTTCTGTTTTGGAATACATGTCATACTTATATAAGTAAACACTTTTTGACAAAAAATAGATCTATTCACATTATATTTTTTAAATAAAGGACACCTTAAAAAAATGTTGCTATCATAACAAAATTGACAGACATTTTGACGGAAAATTCTTATGTTAGCAACACAAACAATCCTGATATCTTCAGTATTTTCAAGGTTTGGATGTATAACTTGCTTAAATATGAAAGGCAAATTGGAATAAAATATTTCTTAACATCTGCACCAATAAAAAAGGAATTGTAATAACTTTAAAAAAGGATTATCTTGGAGTTGCTAACATAAGATTTGACAGACATGAACAATGCTGCTAACATAAGATTTGACAGAAATGAAGTTGTTGCTAACATAAGATTTGACAGACTTTTTTGTTGCTAACATAATATTTGACGGACTTTTTGTTGCTAACATAATATTTGACGGACTTTTTTGTTGCTAACATAATATTTGACGGACTTTTTTGTTGCTAACATAAGATTTGACAGACTTAATGTGTTGCTAACATAAGATATTGACGGACTTGTTGCTAACATAAGATTGTGCTAACATAAATAAATTTGACAGACAATATATATTTGAGATTTTTAACTAACATTGGAGATATTATCCTAGTTGAAAGTCATATTTAGAACTCCTGCAAAATAACGCCGCCTGACATTTAACAAGATTTCAACCCAGGACAGATAACTCTAATTTGTAGTACATCCAAATGTTGCTAACATAAGATGACAAGTTTGACAGAACTTATGTTAGCAACAGATTTGATAAAACTATTGATTGAATAAAGTAAATTGAAAGATCCAAAATGTCTGTTTAATGTACATTATGAAATGCAATTTTAACAGGCTTATATAAGTACCTACAATGATGTGGCAAGATTTTATGAACATGTTGCTATCATAACATTTATTGACAGACGAGCATCTAATAAGCAAGGTATTTGAAATTGAAAAAAATATATATCACAGGATGTTTTTAACAAAAGAAAAGCAAAAGATTTGGAAACAGGGATGTTTGAATCATCAGACTACACTAGTAAAAACCATTATACCAGTGTCAATTTAAAGCATAATGTAACACATAAACCTAATGTGTCAAAAAATGGGAAGTAATTTCCGTCAAACATTTCACATTTTTCAACTTATTTTGATCATTTCTACTTTTAATGGAAACAATCATATCCAATAATTGGTTTTCTTACTTTATTTAACATTACTATTCAACAAAACATTCACATATTATCATTCAAATAACAGTTAGTATTATTTTTATTAATTTGTTCTTTTTGACAGAAATTTTCTTTTCTTTATGTAATCTGCCATCTATAGATTGATCTCCAGGTCATAGTCAAGGCCACTTTGACCAACAGAGGCCCCAAAAGTACGTATCCTAGTTTAAACTCCTGTCTGGGTACCAGAAATGTGTCTGTGGAAGGGCAGGGGGGGTTGAAAATCACCCTACTTTTGTACTGAAATTTCCAGCGCCCTGAGACCTTCAGCACTGTGTGTAGCCACTAGGCCATGAACCCTCAGTGGTCAGGCATATTTCAGAACCTCTGGTAAAGTTGTCATTTAACCGGGTACTGTTTAATATGACATTTACTCCTGAGCAACTTAACTATAAAGTAAGGAAGCCGGAACTTGGCGGAAGACTGTTACACGAGAAGTCGATATAACCTTGTTCTTTTTTTATACAAAAGTTTCAAATCCTTACTTTTTATCTTTTAAGTTTATAGTGAATCCATTTACCTTTCTCCAACCGTAAAATATTGCAAAAACTCCCGGGCTTCACTTCAAAGCCTTCTGCATTCGCCTAGCTTTGGCAACAGGAAAATAATTATTTTTTAAGATCGCGTTCGGGTCGGATATGGCGGTGTTTAATTTCCGGAATGACCTTCTACCTGGTGTGAGTCTAGCCATTTCCAAATGATTTTTACAGTTTGTTCTTATGTTGTGCTGTACATACACAACCTAGTCCATTTGGACTCTGGTTGATAGTTGTCTCATTTGCAATTAAAACACATCTCCTTATTTTCATATATATTTTTTTATAAATTTATTTGCATGGAAACTACATTAGATTTACTCTTTGAGAGGTGTTACTCAAGATAATCTGATTCCTAAGCCAAAAAACTGAGCTGTTTTGACAAATCTTTTGTTCTTTCTGGATCAGTTCTGGACTACCATAAAATTGTGTAAAATGCAAAAAAATCTACTTTTAAGGGGGAAGGCCTTAATTGGCAAAGACATATAAAAATACAATATCTCTGGCCTTGGTAACCCCAAAAATTTCCTCTCGCTTAAATTTTCTTATATTTACACAATTGAAAGGGTAAGGATCCATATCATCATCTGCCAAGGTCTTGTTGAAATTCACTGTTGCATTGACTACTATACTATGTGTTATAGTAGTCTCAGATTGAATATGGCCTGTTTTGAGGTACCCTAAAAAATGGTCGAAAACACTGGTAGGCATTTATTATTATGTGTTTTTGCTCATGTTTTCATTAGGAATTCCCATGACTTTTACAATGCATAGTAGAAACATATTTTAAAGTAAATCTGAAATGTCATGGTTATAATATTTGTAGCATGAATGTAAATAAATGGTTTAAAATTATTGAATAAGTTGAAAATTCTGGTCAGCTCAGATAACACATTAATTTTTCAAACTTTGCCAGAAAAAAGTTATTAATTCCTGGAAAAAATTTGCGGAAACAACTATTGTTCTTAAACATGATAAACCTTGAAAGTACTTTCATCTCGAACGAGACACAGTTTTGCAACTTCTGATAAGTTCATAAATGCTGGTGACTGTTTTTAGAATGTTATTTTTATTTGTATATTATACTTATTTTTAACTACTGTACCTTTTCAACTGTTAATCTTTTACAATGATACATTGAACTATGTGAACTAACTGTGTTTACCTCTTTAAATATCTATCACCACCAAGTAAAGGAAAATTATCAAGAACAGGTGTATTAAGTATATATATTTTATTGGTGGAGAATAAAGATTCCCTTGACCAAGGTATAGGGTCAGCATTTTGGTACTTCTTAGCTTGTCTTAGTCCTATAATAATAAAAGGCTCACAAGGTAAAAATACGGCAATTTTATATTTTTACTTATTCCATTCAATTTTTTTTTTTTTAAACAAATCTGATTGTTATTACTTTTAATGTTTAAAGATTTCCTCTATCCATTAATGTTGTCAGGATCTTATACAACATAAAATGCAAAATATTTGTCAAATGGTCATTGAAGGGAATAATAACTCATATTAGAGTCAGTTGAAGGTTTTAGCCATAAAGTATTTTTGTAGATCTTGTATCACTGATAATTTTTGCTCTTTACAGTTTCTATCTAATATCATTTTAATGATAACAATGATGTTGAAGGTTGTACAGTGTCTATCTATGACCATTTTAATGATAAAAACAATGATGTTGAAGGCCATATGGTGACCTATAGTTGTTAACTTCTACATCATTTGGACTCTAGTGGAGATTGTCTCATTAACAATCATACCACATCTTCTTATTTTTATAAAAAATGTACAAAACATGTATGTCAAAATCTACATTTCAATCAAAAATTCCTAGAAAGAGTAAATTGATGGTTTTTATAGTCATATTTGTATTTTAGTAGAATTTGTATGGCGGATCTTTTTTGTTGTTCACAGTTTCTGTCTGTCTATTCTACTGTTCAAGATAATAAGCAAAAACACAAAAATTGTCATTGAAGGGCAGTCAGTTGATGGTTTCAGATCACACAAGAATTTTTGTAGATCTTATATTGCTGATAATACTTTTCTGTTTACATTTTGTTGTCCTCAAGATAAAATTGTCAAAAACAAAATTGTCATTTGAAGGCAAAAACTCGAAGTCGTCTGATGGTTTTTGCCTTTTGAAGTTTAGTATATCTATTATAGTTTTTAGATATAAGGCATTCATATAAACACAATAAACTGCTGACACAGAGATATTTCTTGTCTTTAGGTAATTTTGATAGTGTGATGCAAAGTTTGATAGTATAATGCAAATTTTCATATCATAATGCAAATGTTGAAATTAAAATGGCATTACTTTATTATGTAAATTGTGCAAAACAAGTTCAATTCATCATGACTGAAGGTGCAGGGCATTGGAAATTAGAAATGCCTATGCTAATACAACTGCATACCAAACATCATTGACATAAGTGGTTCCCTTAAAACTGACCTAAACACAAGTTTAAGAAGTAAACTATGCAAAAGTTTCAAAGTCAACAGACCATGACTGAGAGGTAGGACCAAGTAATCTCCATTGAAATAAGATATGCCGATGCTAATATAACTGCATACCAAATTTAATTGACCTGCCAGTAGTGGTTCCTCTTTATTGACCAAATCACAAATAACTTAAACATGTAAACTAAACAAAAGTTTCAAAGCCATAGACCATGACCGAGGGGACGGGGCCAAAATATTTCCATGGCACTGAGATGTACCAATGTTAATACAACTGCATACCAAATAACATTTACCTACCACTAGTGATTCCCTGTAAACTTACCTAATCACAAACTGATACATTGTTGATGCTGCTACTTCCAGAAACAGCACCAATTAGTCTCGCTTTTTTTACTTAGATGAGGCAAGACAAAAATAAGTAACAAAATCATCAGTTAAGGGCAATTATTCCTTTCTAGAGTCATCTGATAATTTTGGTGAAAACAGGAAATAGGTAGATTTAGAAATTCTGATAATTTTTTGAACGTCAGATTTTCACCGGTGAGCAGACTATCAATATTAATCATCCTAACTGTGAGATTTCAATCTCAATTTCAAACTGGGAAAATAATTTATTGAAGATATCAAAATACAAAAGATCAAAGCAGCAAGTGTCCTATTGCAAAATTACTCGCCTTTATATGATTGTTTAACTTGCACATTTGCTTTTGTTGTTCATAATACCTGTATTATAGAGTTAAGTGCTTATTCTGAACAGGGTTTATTGTATTTTCACTCGTGTACCTTATGATATTCTCATGATTAAGTTTACAAGAGGGGTAAGGCTGAGTACTCTATTACTAATTTAACCCTACCACATGTTCATTATAAAATAAGGAGATGTGGTATGATTGGCAATGAGTAAACTATCCACCAGAGACCAAATGATGTAATGTTAGAAATTATAGGTCACAGTACAGCCTTAAAAAATGAGCAATCCCATACTGCATAGCAAGTGATAAAAGGTCCTAACAGATCCCATACTGCATAGCAAGCTATAAAAGGTCCTAACATCTTCTTACATCTACAAACATGACACAATGTAAAACAGTTAAAACAATAAAATCCAACAGCCTGACTTATATTCATAACAACAAACAAAAACAAATATGATATAAAGCAACAAATGACAACACTGAATTACAAGCTCCTGACTTAGGACACGCATATACAGAATGTAATCATTCAACCCACCCCTAACCCATGGTTCATGGTTCATAATACCATATGGCACTGGATTAACCACAATTACAAAAGAACAAATACTAATAAAATGCTCTGCTGAGTGCAGCCTGATACGACCGCAGAGGTCGAACCCTGAACAGTTGGGGCAAGTTAGGACACAATATTCAAGCTTGATACTGTCTGAATTTGAATTGTGATCAAATTTTTGACATAATATAGGTTTCTGACACAAAATAAATGTGGTCAAAGATCTTAAAAATTTGAAATGGGACATTTAATTTACCTAGAATGGGTCTGATATCCAAAATCTAACAACATGGTTAGATTAAGCATATAAAAAAACACCAATAATTTAATTTTAGTTGAAATCAAACAAAGTTTAATTTTTGACCCTTCAAACCTTATTATGAACTTATTTGAAAACAGGGCCCAAAATAAAAAGATTCAATAAGATTCAGCAAATCATACAGCCGCAATAATTCAGTTTTTGATGAAATCAAACAAAGTTTAATTTTGGACCCTTTTGACCTAAATGTAGACCAATTCAAAAATGGGGCCAAATATCCCAAAAAATCATACAAGGTTAGAACACCCAGAAATTAAAGACTTAATTAATCCCATCGAAATTGGTTAAAACATTTGTATTTGTTTTCAATTGAAGATTTCTTGCTATTGCGCAATACTGTGCAATTGAAGATTTCTTGCTATTGTGCAATACTGTGCAATTGAAGATTTCTTGCTATTGCGCAATACTGAGCAATTGAAGATTTCTTGCTATTGCACAATACTGTGTTGTTGCGCAATACTGTGCAATTGAAGATTTCTTGCTATTGCGCAATACTGAGCAATTGAAGATTTCTTGCTATTGCACAATACTGTGTTGTTGCGCAATACTGTGCAATTGAAGATTTCTTGCTATTGCGCAATACTGTGCACTTGAAAATTTCTTGTTATTGCGCAATACTGTACAATTGAAGATTTCTTGCTATTGCGCAATACTGTGCAATTGAAGATTTCTTGCTATTGCGCAATACTGTGCAATTGAAGATTTCAAAAAATTTGAAGAAAAAAAAATCCCCCCAACTTTTTGAACCCCCTACACCCCCTTTTGGAGTAATTACCCCCAAACTCAATCCTAGCCTTCCAATTATGGTATGGAACCTTGTAGTACAATGTTAGAGAGATCCATACACTTAAACACAAGTTATTGTCTGGAAACTAGAAAAATGCTTGTTTTTGGCCCCTTTTTTGCCCCTAATTCCTGAACGTTTGGGACAATTAACCCCAAACTCAGTCCCAGCCTTCCCTTTGTGATATAGAACCTTGTGGTACAATTTCAGAGAGATCCATACACTTACACACAAGTTATTGTCCCGGAAAC